GCATTAGTTAAAATGTTGCCAAAGTTGCATAAAAAATTTTGTGCTACACCAGGTACTGTTAATGTTAATAGGAACACGACCTTAAAGGGCTTTCTGTAACTGACGCATTCGTAACAGAGCACTTGGTAGTGGTTGTTTTTGCATTGTTAGAAAAAAAAGTATAAGTTGAGCTGTAAAAAAAAAAAAAAAAAAAAGAAGTTTTCACTATTTTGCAATTGCTGCATTGTGATTCTTAATAATAACTACAACTTTTTTGTTACTCATTATATTGTTCATTACAAATAAAAAAAGAAATAAAATTTGCTGAACTTGAATGGTCTATATTTCGCACAATCCACAGGAATTGCTGACGCGGAACTTCCCTAACTGTTATAACTGATTTTCAAAACAGGCTCTGGAGAAATGCAAAATGAAGGAGAGTCAAAATCAGGTGATAGCAAGTTTTTTTGGAAAGCTTCCTCGTCATATTTGGTTTATATGTATAGAGAAGCTCTATACGAAAAGGTTATGGAAAAAAGCATAAAATTTTAGCACGACTGCACGACTGCACGACTGCAATCGATTTTTTCAGTGTTTGTACCTTAGCGTCTCATAAGTTTCCTGTCCGCTCTGATAAAAATACTCAAAATAAATACGAGGTGACTAATCAAGAAATTTTGCACACACTTTTATCGTTGAATCTTGTGTACAAAAGAATGGTCGCAAGCTAAATGTTCCGTACAGACGCTGAAGCTGCTTTTCTTAATTGATGCAAAAAAGAAGACAACAAATGATTTATTTCAGTCTAAAATATACAAGACGCAAAAAACACTAGAAAACCTAAGCAGCTCTGCCGTAAGTAAAAATCTTACAAAAAACAGATAAAGCCACATCAACAGAATCTCCAAATTCAGTAGCTACCTAAAAGAATTATTTTAGGTGGTTTTTACATTATTTTTTTTCCTGCCAACTTTTTGGTGATCTATCTCACTGAGACCCCGTGCATGGTGATTTTGCCGGTTAGCGACAAATTCTGCCCCTCCTCTCGAAAAAAGTGGAAATGTAGCGAAATTAATGTTTCCTATTTTCTGCCCTTAGGCCACATCCTTGCAGATGCTAAGGTTGAAAGTCGGATAAAGATTTTCTGCATTCTGTGCCATAAACTTGTTACTCATGCATTGCAAATCATTTTCTGCCACAGATAGCAGAACCGTCCTCATATATCAACTACAAGTGCTGTAACCAGTATTGCATTCGACAGTTTTAATCACAGAAATTGTTATATCCTGAAGAATTCCTCTACCAGTCAAGCAGCAAAAAATTTTTTTTGGCTAAGTAAAATTTATAAAAACAATGAAATAGTGAGAGTTAAAGGTATGTAGACAGCAAAACATTGCCTCTACAAATGAATTTTAAATATAAGATTCAATTAGATTTCACTTTTAAAATCTAGCAACTAAAATTCCTGAAACGAATAGCTTATTATATAAGCAATAAAAGCGGCGTAAGGAAAAAGTTATCACAAGTTGAGATCTTCTGCTGTATTTAACTCATTACCGTCAGAGCGAACTTGATTAGGAGAAGAATGAATGGTAGACAAACGATATCCTAATTCTTCTTGCGCTGATCCTGACGCCTATAAAAACATCATTTCAATTTCTGAAGATATATTTAAACGAGAGAAAATGCTTAGCTTTGTTTCGGTTTCGTGGTTCCTTCTTCCCCCAATCCCTTCACGACACGTTCTTCGACAAACCTCCAGTGGTTAAGGAGCGCTTAAGCAGGGAGCGACAACGGCGTCTCAGAGGTATGCGAGAAATCTTTCGCCTCATACCGCCGAAAGATGTCGCTTCCGCCAGAGCAACCCGTGTTTGCAGCTCAGGACAAAGAACACCTACGTGCAATTCTGAGAAGGTTTCACGACTGTTGCGCTTCAGCAAAGAAGTGAAAGTAGACAAGTGAAGAAAATAACTGTTAGCTGTTGTCGTGCACAGGTGCTTAATGCCTACAGATACTGTCGTTCTTGCGAATGACCTTCCAAAAATAAGATCTGACTGAACTAACAACTTAATAACTTCTTGGAAGCTATTACAGCTTATTTATCAAAAACAACAGCAGTTTCTAAGGCGACATAGTGACCAATAAGGGCGGTT